CCTCCCTCCCGCCTTCCCACTCCCTGTCCTCCCCCGTCGCCGTGGCCCACTCCACCGCGTCCTGCTCCACGACCCGGCACACGTGCCCGTGCCGGGGCCTCAGGCGCTCTCGCTGTTTTTCGGCCATGGAACGGGAGATTTCCACCACCGTGTAACGGGTTCGGCGATAGACCTCGGGGGCCTGCGCTTCCAGGTAGTCAAGGATACAGAGGGCGTTGGTGCCGTAGCCCCCGCCAATTTCGTAGATGCACAGAATTCTCGCCTTTTCCGCTGAATCCGCATGCTCTGCCCGAGGAGAAGGCCGTTCGTGGCTCCTTCGTACCCGCGCGTCCTCCCTCGGTCCCTCCTTCCCTCCCCGTCCCGCCTCCGCCCTTTCCTTCCCCGCCTCTCCTCTTTCAAAACCGCCGGCCTGCCCCCTCCCCTCTTCCTCCTCCTCCTTCATGTGCGCCTCCAGGATGTAGCGGGCGATGGCACGCGAGTAGTGCGGGGCGAAGACCTCGACGGGCGTCATCCAGGCCTGGGGCCGGCTCTTGTAGAGCTTGTCCAGGGCGAGTTGGTAGTCCCAGTAGCCTTTCAGCGTCGGGAAAGGAATGCGCTCCGCGGGAGGAGGCGAAATGATGATGTTGGCGCCCTTGGTGGTGAAGTAGCCGTCCTTGGGGCCGTACAGGGCCTCCCGGATGAAGTCCCGCACCAAGACCTCTCCTCCCCTTGCTTCCGCCGAGGCCCGGGATAAAAGTCGCCTCCTGAACCCAAATACATGCCCGTGGGCTTTGAAACCCAAGGATTTCCGCAATACCCTCCCTGGCCCACGCCGAATCATCCCGGTGCCTCCTGCAGGGTTTGGTACCTGGACGGCAGGGTGGGCAAAAAAGGGAGGAGGTTAAAGGGTGTGGGGGGAATGTGCGGGTGGGAAAGTCAGCCTCCCCCCCGGTCAAACAGCTTCCGAGCCACACCTGACGCTCACGGCACAGGACGCGTGGATATTCGAACCCGTTGATTCACGTAGTGTACGGAACTCGCCGGCCGCCTGGGTCCAGGCTGCTGCCTGCGTCTAGTGCGCGCCGCACGTGCCGCTCCGGCACTCGCTTACTTCCATGTTCCACGCCCCCAGGCCCTTGCCCCTCCCTCCCGTCAATTAAACCCCTCTAATCCCCCAGTAAATTCTCTCACGCTCACTCGACGGCGTCACGCACAGGGCATGTCCTCTTCGCCAGACGTCCTCGACAGCATCACCCCGGCGGAGGTGCATGCCCTCGCCCACCCCTCGCCCTCCACCTCCTTTTTCCTACGGGACACCGCCTTTTCCCCCCCGTCGTCCAAGCCCCCCCAGTGTTTCCAAGACACGCAGGCCCGCCAATGGCTCGAGGCAGCGCGGGCCTTGGAACGCCAAGGCCTCCTTTCTCCCGCCGGCATGGGCCGGTCGCCCGCCCGTTGGAAGGACAGTGACCACCGCGGAGACTGTATCGCCTGGCTGTCCCTCAGCCCCGAGACTCCCTCAGAGCCGCCTCTTCCCCCTCCTTCGCCCTCCCCCGCCAGCGAGCGGCCCCCGACCCTCCCTCTCGCCCCAGACT